TATCAGTGTGTCTCTCTTCTGTGACTGGCTTGAAGCCCAGTACCTTGCCCCAGTGCATAGAAAAACCAAGTGAAAGTGCCTAGAATGGTGGCTCCATAGACTTAGTCAGCACTATACCAACTCCCATATTTACAGATAAACAAGTAGTTAGATGCATACATAAACCAGTGTGTGCATATGAGTGTATTTATATCAGACTCCAGATGGGTAGAGAAAGAAACAGATATTATTTAGATCAGAGCCAGGATTTTGGTTTCAAACTACTTTAGTGCTAGAGGTAAAAACAGACATGGAAGCCCAGTCCCTCCCCTATCTACTGCCAGGCATAAATGGGAGGGCAAGGGCCTTCTCAGGAGCTATCACTTTCCTTGGGTGTCTCCTCTTACCATTTGGTGGATTGCGTTTGCTAAATGGTGAGAAAATTAATGTGATAATAAAATTTCACAAAACTACAGTTTTGCTCTGTTCAGGCTATGTGTCACTACTCACCCGATTCCCCTTTCTCATTTCTGTTTTCAGAAGAATACTCCCTTCCCAGTGAACCAGATTTCTTTGTTACCTTCAAAGATAATTAAGTGGGACTGGGTGCAGTGGTGCATGCCTGTAAGCCCAGTGACTCTGGAGGCTGAGGCAGGAGGATGGCGTTGTTCAACTTAGCAAGACAGTGTCCCAAAATAAAAAGTATTGGGGATTTGGTTCAATGGTTAAGTGCTCCTGGGTTCAATTCTCCAGTACCAGAAAAAAAAGAAAAAGATAATTAGGTGGATCTTTTGATTTAAGAAGTTCACAGCACTATAAGAAAATAACTAGGGACTGTTCCATGAAAGAATGCAAAGCCCAAGGAGTCCTTGAAGTTCTGGAACAGGCTTGTCGTTTACAATGTTTTTTAGATTCCATGTTTTGATGGGGCTTGTTACCTAGGCTGTTGATATAGAATGGCATCTTTTCTCAGTGGAAGATGCAATCCAGCCAGATTCAAATTCCTCTTCTCCCAAAGTGATATTTGAATCATTAATGATTTTTTGCATGGAAGGCATCTTGTTTACTAGACTTCTGCCCCACCTGGAAATGATCACCCTGGGCTCTTCTCAAACCAGGACATTAATGCCTGTCTCTGGTCCCATAGTATTAAGAGAGCTTCTCTTTTCCTCATGTCTACTAGATGTCAGAAATTGCATCAGAGACTTTACAAATGCAATCTTCATAATAACTCTATGAGATGGATTCAAGGATATGCATTTTATAGAAAAGAAGACTAAATCAGAGATTCCAAGTAATGTATTTCTATTGGGAGAGGGCAGATTTTTTTGAACCTTGAGTAGCCTGATTGTATTGCTCATGTTAAATTTGGATTTTCATCTCTAAAGCCATTTCTTGTTACATCATGTACTGCCTTCTGAATGTAAGAATGATTTTAATAACCTGTAGTTGCTAGATTGATGAAGCAACATCCTGACGTTTAATTCACCTTGTGGCTAGCAATCCATATTTGAGAAATATCTGAGTGACTGATATAGGAAACAGAATGAATCTAATTAGATTTTATGAAGCCAGAGACTTGAAACCTTGGCTTCAGGGACAACAGAATTTAAGCAGGTAAACTAAATAAGAACTCAGACTAGTATTGAGCCACTTAGTAATTTACTTATCTCAAATTAGTAACTTGAAAGATGAGTTAGCTACTCTCATTTCACCCCTCTTTGAAATTCTAAATAGCTTGAAAGATTTGTACAGCTTCCAAACTGACTTCATTAAAACCAGAGAGTAGTTGGTGTTTGGGGAGAATTTAACACCCTCTACCTAATTGTGTTTCATGTTTGTAAAGTTATTGGATTGGCATAGATTTTTTTTTTAAATGTTATTCATAGAGAAAAAAAATGATTCTAAGCTGTTTAATATTTAGAATGCTAAAATTGTTTTCTCTGTCAAGTTTGACTGTAAATCCATAAAAGGATATGCCCCCAAACATGACACTTAGTTAGATCTTAGTAAACAATTGTGCCATGAATGAAGAATGAGTTGTTAGTTTAGTATTACATGTAAATGTGTTTATGCTGGCTTTTATTTTTTATACAGCATTTCCTTTGTCTTCGTATTCCTCCTTGGCCAAAGAATGCTTGTCCATGAACGAAAAAAAAAACTGTCTAAAAGATGCTTCACTGCTGCATGTTCAAAATTTGTGCAAATGTTAATTTAAGATACCTTTGAGAGCACCTTTTATATGCCTGTAATTTAGAATCTCATTTAAGTTTATTCTCATGTCCCAGTCTCACATCTTCTGATTGCTTATTCAAGATTTAACTATTTTCAGGGCCCCTTCTTTTGAATTCCAGTTTCCTCAACCTTTTAATATATTTTTTAATATATAAGAATAGTAAATGCTGCCAAGTGAACAAAAACGTAAAGGTTGAACCTGTCACATCACTACAACATATTGAGGCAATTCTTTGAAAGTTAATGTATTTCAATGACTATTGGGAACCCAGATTCTATGAGGGACAAAACTTGTCTGTCTTATTTTTTTGCTCTCTTTTTTAACATCGTTTTTTAATTTTTAATTTTAATTTGTTATATGTGACAATAGAATGGATTACAATTCACATTACACATATAGAGCACAATTTTTCATATCTCTGGTTGTACACAAATTAGAGTCACATCCTTCATGTCTTCACACCTATACCTAGGGTAATGATGACCATTGTATTCTACTGTTTTTTCCTACCCCTATGCCCCTTCCTTCTTCTCCCTCCCCTTTTCCTCTTTGCCCTATCTAGAGTTCATTTAATCCTCCTACCCCACTGCCCCCACTCCCAGCAGCATATTATGAACCAGCATCTTTAAATCAGAGAAGTCATTCAGCATTTGGTTTTTTGGGATTGGCTAATTTCACTTAGCACTATATTCTCCAGCTCCATCCATTTACCTGCAAATGCCATGATTTTATTCTCTTTTAATGCTGAATAATATTCCATTGTGTACATATGCCACATTCTCTTTATTCATTCATCTCCTGAAGGACATCTAGGTTGGCTCCACAGTTTAGCTATTGTGAATTGTGCTGCTATAATCTATTTCCTTATTTTAGATAACCAACAGTAATTCAGGCTTAGTTTATAAGTGTTACAATGCTTGGTTATGACTATAAAAAGTTGCATATTATGGCTATCCAAAATTGTACAAAAGTATGAAGTTTGACCAGGTACCTAAAAAGGTTTAAACCTATGGCAATTTTTTTTTTCAGTTTTAGTGGACACAACATCTTTATTTTATTTTATGTGGTGCTGAGGATCAAACCCAGCACCCCGTGCATGCCAGGCGAGCACGTTACCGCTTGAGCCACATCCCCAGCCCATATGGCAATTCTTCAGAGCATTATTTCCTAAACTTCATCTATTTGAGTTATACTTTTTGATTTTGTTCATATGTGCTTATTACCTACAGATGGTTTATTTTTATTTTCATTGAATTGGCTCAGTAAACCTAAAATAATGAATTTAGCCTCCACTGAAGTAATATAAATTTGTAATGCCAATAGTTTATATTTCTAATAAGTGTTAAAATAAATACATAGTTACTGAACTAAAAAAAAATCTCAATCAATTAAAATCATCCCTCATAACCCCTGATCTTCCTAATCACATCCTGAGACTCACTGGTTTAGTGATTGGTTTGGGGTTCACACTGAGCATATTCTTAGTGGGAGAAGGAGAGAACCTGGCACCATAGGTCATCAGTTTTTGGACACCTAACTTTAGGACAGAAAGTAAAAGATATAGAGGAATCCTCATGCCTCTGTTTACTTCTAAGGACCACAATCCAGAAGTTGTTAACAGTGAGCAGCAGTATTATTATTATTATTATTATTATTATTATCATCATCATTATTATTATTTTGTATTCGGGATTGAACCCGGGGGGGCTTAACCACTGAGCCACATCCCCAGCCCTTTTTTGTATTTTATTTAGAGACAGGGTCTCACTGAGTTGCTTAGGTCCTCACTACCTTGCTGAGGCTGGCTTTGAATTGCTGGGATTACAGGTGTGTGCCAGTATCGCTAATAAAGCCTCCATCTTGTGAGGAATGCAGATGTGTTGTATTCCTTTTTTAAAAAATTTTATGTATTCTAATTTGTTATGTATGACAGCAGGATGCAATTATGTTACACAAATAAAGCACAATTTTCCATGTCTCTGGTTGTACACAAAGTAGAGTCACACCATTCATGTTTTCATAAATGAACTTAGGATAATGATGTCCATCTCATTTCACAGTCTTACCTACCCCCACGCCCCCTCCCTTCCCCTCCCTCCCCTTTAACAGAGATATCCTTATTACATGAATGGATAAAGAAAATGTGGTATATATGCACAATGGAATATTACTCAGCATTAAAACAGAATAAAATCATGGCATTTGCAGGTAAATGGATGGAGTTGAAGAATATAATGCTAAGTGAAGTAAGCCAATCCCAAAAACCCAAATGCTGAATGTTTTCTCTGATATAAGGATGCTGATTGATAATGGGGATGGGGGGAGCATGGGAGGAATAGATGTGTTGTATTCTAAATTTGGGCAAGCCTTCTTACTGTAACCATGCAGGGAGCTGGAGAGTTGTGACATTCCCAAGCCTCTGACTCTGTGGCTGCTTCTTTGAATCTTATCTTTGCTGTGCTAACATCCAAATAGCAGTATTGTTGGGATGCTTTTGACAGCTATCCAGAGAACGCCCAAAGAGAACAACAGAATGCTTAGGTGCCATATTTGTGCTTGCAAAGGAAAGGGGAAGAGTGAACCCAAATGCCAGCTTCTCTTCTTAGAGGGATAAAGGAAACTATCACTAGCTTTGCTTCTGGATGCATGGGGACATTTGTTGCTCATTGAACGATGATGAATGCTGCGTGTTTCTATTTATGAAACAGAATGAGAGGGGTGGTAGGGACTGTTGGAAAATGAAACCTCACTTGGTTGTTCCTGATTCTGTGCCTCCTCGTCTCAGGTCCCTGAGCAACATGGGAAATGGTTCAGTGAAACCCAAACATTCCAAGCATCCAGATGGCCACACCGGGAATCTCAGCACTGATGCCCTGCGGAGCAAGGTGACGGAGCTGGAGAGAGAGCTGAGGAGGAAGGATGCTGAGATTCAAGAGCGGGAGTACCATTTGAAGGAGCTGCGGGAACAGCTGTCGAGACAGACCGTGGCCATTGCTGAGCTCACGGAGGAGCTCCAGAACAAGTGCATCCAGCTGAACAAGCTTCAGGATGTGGTGCATATGCAGGGAGGAAGCCCACTCCAGGCCTTTGTGGATAAAGTGCCTCTTGAGGTCCACCGGAAGACCTCGGGATTGGTCTCTCTCCATAGCAGAAGGGGAGCAAAGGCCGGGGTGTCTGCGGAGCCCACAACCCGAACCTATGACCTCAACAAGCCCCCTGAGTTTTCCTTTGAGAAAGCGAGAGTCAGAAAGGACTCCAGGTAAGAAGTTCCATGCCATTTTAACTCAGATGGCCTTAATGTTAAGAAGGACCAGAGTGATAACTATGAAGGCTTTTGAATGGTGAAGAGCATGTAAACTCTCAGATGTGGGGCTAGAGGGAATTCTCAAATGGTTTTGTTTTACAAAAGTATCTCTCATTAAGTAAAAATGTTCTTTAAAGCAAAAATTGCACTTTATGTGGACTTTGAGGTATAGAGATATAAATGCAGACATAATGAGTTGCTGAGTTTACTAAAAGCCCTTTCCATTATCTTACAATCCCTGGAGGAGTGAGGAGGTAGGTTTAGGAAGTCTATACTTCTTTTCTTTTAGAGTAGACCTAAAAATGTACACAAATCATAATAAAGTATGAATATGTATAGCAAAAACCACTTCTGAGTAGTTAAAAGGAGGCTGACTTCATTCATTCGCTATACAGTTTATGTTGAGCACTGTTCTCTGCCAGCCACTGTGTTGATTGCTTAAAATAAATATTCCCAGATCCTTTTTTGTGGAGGAGATTGTATACCCAGAAACAAATAAGAGATGTATAATTATTAATTGGGTTAATGTTGTGATGGAAACCAGCAGTATAATGGGTTGTGTTGAGGGTGAGGGGGAAAGGAAGGAAGCAGGAAAGAGGAGCAGAATTGTGGTGAAGGCCTGGTTGAGGTGGTGACCTTGAGCTGAAATACAAAGGTCAAAACCAACCAAGTAGAGACTAAATGGAAAGAACGTTTTAGGAAGAGGGGACAATTAAAAGCTAGAATGCATTTTAAAAGTTAGAATTTTTTTTCTCTTTAAAAATTTTTTAGTTAACATAATTGTGCATATTGATGGGGTACAGTGTGATATGTCAACACATGTATACCGCATGTACTGGTCAACTAAAGGTGATTAGCATTTCGATTTCTTTATCATTTATGTTTGGAGCAAAAATTAGAAATTTTAAAAGAACATATAAATATCACAACAGTCTTGTGTGTATATGAAAATATATATATATATATATATATATATATATATATATGCATGTATATATTTTTCTGGCTTAAGTTTGATTTTCCTGCCCAGGAAAGATTGATTACAAATATAAGTTAGGATTCTCCTTTTGCATGGTTTTTAAATAAGTAAATATTTATTAGCTGAAATGAGATCTTTTGCCTTACTATTGCTGTGGCTGAGCCTGAATCACTGTGGCAAAATGCAAGAGATTGTGAAATTAAATCAATTTTTAATTTTTTCATAGACACAAGTAATATAAATCAGAATAAAACTTTCAACCTAAGCAAATAAAAGATTGATTTTGACAACAAAATTACAAAGGGGGGTTTAACTCATCAATTTGTTGACAGCATTTGGTGGCATGTATGAAATTATTGATAAATATTTGTTAAGGAAACTAGTCATACTGGATTATTAATCATAATATTCTATGACTGAAAAATATGATTAATATTAGCTTTCAGGAAAGTTTTATTAAGCCAAATGTTTTATTATTAATTGGTTTAGAAAGATCTTATCTACTCTCCTTTAAAAGTAATACTTGTCTTAATGCTGTGTCTCTCACTTGTTTTTCAAAATTGAACAGCATCCCGTGTTACTTTTTGATATATCAGAGACATTTGAACTTATAGTAATATTGCATATTATTCATTATGCTACATATGTGTACATAAATATATTATGACTAGCAATATGCTTTCATATGTAGGACAATGTGTCAGAGACTTTAGTAGCAATTCATCTTCTTTGACCTTATCCTTACATAGGCTACTAGATTTCTCCTCTTGAATGAAGATTTTGTTCAATTACTTTGTTCAAAGAGTTATGCGTATTTTAAGACAAAATACCATTTTCTTGGTGCTAAATAATCTGAGATAAGCATATTTCTTTGAATTTCTTTATTAGCTCTTTTATAACCAGGCAAAGAAAATCAGTAATTACATGCTGTCAATTTCTGAGACAAACTGCATTCCTTTTCTTCTGTCTAGTGAGGGACACAGGAAAGACATCATAGCTTCTGAATAAGGATTATCAATGACTATTCTCACCCTAAAGGCAGACCACGTGGGTACCAGTCTATGTTGAGGTCAGAATGAGGAAATGAACTAATTTGTTTCTTAATGATTGGTCCTAAAAAGAGCAAACTAGATCATTCATGCCCTAAAACGTTTCATCTGCTTTCTCAGAGCCTTGTGCTTCTAAATTAAAAAAAAAAAAAAACAAAAAAAAAAACAGAATATGGAGTCATTCTGTTTTCATTGACCGATATGTACCACGCTTTCCCTTGAAAAAAGTATAACTATGTCTCTTGAAATAATTGCTTAAACACAGCTAATTTCATCAATTCAGAGACTGAATTTTTTCGTTTTTCATTTCTAACAATTTGTTTTTCATTTCCAAGAAGTTCTAATTCAGAAGAAAAACAAATGTAAAACTTGAATATTTTTAATATCTCTTTTATGCAATATATCAAAATTTTGTAAGGAACAATTTTCTAGAAGTTAGAGCATTAAGAAGATGGGAGCATCTTCCACCGCTAAAAGGATTATGCACTTTATGTAGTGGTTTAGCTACTCTATCAAGCAGGGCTTGCTAGATATTAGAGAATTTAAGAGCCTCAGTCAAAATGACTTCTCTGTTTATTCTTAGTTCTCATGATTTATTTGTCAAACTTTTTATAAACTTTACTAGCTGAATCTAAGATTAAATCTTGTTCCTACTACATATGTATCAACTACATTTTGGATAAAGTTTACCCTTCACACTGGGTAAATAGAAAGCCATTGGATGGAGTTTCAGTAATTTTGTCAAAAGGAATGAATGTCTCTAGTAAGTATTTATCACAGAGCAAGAAACTGAGGGGAGACTACCAAGTCTCCCACAATCAACAATTATTAGGGAAATATGAAGCCCTGATAGATGGCAGAGTATACAATTTGATGGAATGACAGATTCCAAATTTGAGGATTCAGATTCAGTAATTCACAAGAAACTCTAACTCATGAACATCAGTGTGTGATTTCCTGAGTCTCCTGTGATCAAATGTATTGTGAATGATGAGTAACATGCTTCAGCTTCAGGGCTGCCCCCAGCTCATCCCAGCTTTGTTGTCTGATACCCAACAAGTAGACAGTTAGTGTCCAAGGGAATAACTTAAACTGTGTACTTGTACCTCTGTTCTTTATAGAGAGGAACATATAATGGTACTTTAATGGTACTGGGGAATCTGGACATTTGTCTCACAAAATTCTCAGGTTCACTTTTTAGGATCTGGTTCTAAAGTAGTTCAGTGTTGTGCAGTTGAAACTTCTGCAGTGACAGAAATTTTCTGTAATCTGTATTCAAAAAGATGGTAGCCAAAACCCAAATTTGGCTACTAGGTAATTAAAAATTTGGCTGCTATAACTAGGGGACTGTATTTTTAATTTTAATTCATTGGAAAATTAAATACCCACATGTCTAATGACTGATGAACTAGATATTGCAATTCTAGACTATATGGTTTAGATGGCAACTGCTATGGCATGAAATGAGAATTATGATCTAGTGCAGTTTGGGTATACTTTATGGACAAAGTAAGACCAGTGTGAAATTTTATGAAGCCACAGAAAATAAGAATATGACTCTTAGATTGTGGTGGGCCCTAAATGGAATTGCTGGGAAGCTGCACTGGAATCTTCATAATCTTTTGTAGTGACTTGGCCTTGTGCCTGTGGACCATTTTAGATCATCAAAAGCATATAGCTGTGCAGACATGTAGCCTGTTTCTATTATAGGCACTCAGCTTTTTTGCATTATTATAAAATCACATGACAAGTCAGAGTACTAGCAAATATTCTGATCTCTGATTTAAATGTAATAAGGTGAACATCAGAAGACTTTAGAACTAGAAGAAAATTAAACATTATTTCATGCTACCCTCCTGGAGATTGCAGAAACAGGTGCAGGGGAGTTATAGAATACACCATGAAGGGTGGTAGAGCCAGAATTGGAATATAAGACTCCTGATTTTGAAACCAGTTCTCCTTCTCTGCAGTCCTGCTCTAGTGTTTTCAGATCTGCCTGCAAAAATGAAAAAAAAAAAGGCCTCTAGTCAGACCAGTTTGGACACCAGTCTACTTTTTGATGATATACCCAGTTGACTGGTAATAAGAACAATGGTGCTCCCTGCATCTTCCATGTGGAGCTGAGCTGAGCTGAGCTTGCCCTTTGCATAGTTGTCAACAAGAGCTGCAACCTCAGAGCTCTGACTGAGAGGAAAGGACATGGAGAATGGATTTGATCTATCTGATGGCCAAAACTGTGGTGTATATGGAAGGTCACATATGTGTCACGTATAGTGCTTCTTAAGGCTGAAGACTGGATATCAGTGGTAAAGAAGGACAGGGAGAAGAGCAGATAGCTTTTCTGTCCATCTCCAACCTGCCTTGAGCACGGAGACAACCACACATCCAGAGGTCAGACCTTTTACTGAAATTAAGTTTTCTGTTTATGTAGAGATATCGTTTAGCAAACTTCAGCACTGGCAGAGCAAAATTACAGGCTCATGCTGAATGTCTGGTGGAACACAGGAAAATTAATCAGAGACATCTGGCAAGTAGCTGTATGACTGTTCTTTTTTTTTTGCTAAGAATGCTTAAACTATCATTTGAAACTATTGTTCTTTCATGAAAAGGAAAGATAAAACAAAGACTTGCCATCTGACTTCAGATGTTGGCTCCAGTTTTAGGAAGGACAATTAGTTGTATTTGTCATTCCCGCCCCAGGAGCAGGATAGGTAAAAGTGGAAAATGCAAGTGAGTCACACATTTAAATAAGATGTGGAAAAGGAGTGAGGGAGAGTATGTTGTTATTATTTGTGCTCGTTTTCTAAAGCAGCACTGATAGTGCATTGGAGAAATGTGTTTCCTTTATTAAATAAGAAAGTTTCTATGGAAAGAAACAATATTTATACATCGCTAATCTGTGCTAGCCCATTCTGAATGCCTCACAG